GTAAATTTGAAAAGAGGTCTTCAAAAAAGTGAGCAGGTTGTATTGCAACCATGGTCAACTATCACATTAATTAATGTGTTTAGGTTATTTATCACAGACGGCAGTTTTGATAGAGTAATCTCTCGGACCAAACAGTTCACTGAGTGAAAGAATAGCGTGGAAGCCAGTCGATAGAGAGAATGAACGTTCAACAGTTTATATCTGTTATATTGCCCGGTCGGGAATGTCAAAGAGATTTTTCAAATTCAAGCCTCTTGAGTTTAAAAGAGCCACTGTAGTTTAATGTGTTTTTGTAACTGATCATGGACCCCCTTGAAGTAAACAAAATTAATTTCGATAAAGTTCATTTCTCGGTTGAAAGAATTTCTTTGGCTGTTAAAATACGAAACGGCAGAATGTATTCGTTACAACATTTCGATGCTATGACTCCCATGCACGGATGACTCGTTTATTTTGATCCTTTCGCGTTTATCGATTGAGTTCTTTGATGTCCTTTTGTAGTGTGAGTACAGACTGATAACGGACTCCCATGAAGGAAACAAAATTGATTTCGAGTGATAAACAATGTACCTTTCTCGGTTGAAGAAACTTCTTGGGCTGTTAACTGCAAAATGCATTCGTTACAATATTTCGATGCCACGACTCACACGAATGACTCATTTATTTTAATCCATACGCGTTTTCAGTTCATTTGATTTCTTTGAATCATAACATAATTTTATAGTGCGCCTAGAAAAAAAGAAATTCGGAAAGAGTTTTGAAGGCTTCCCTGCTAACATCGGCGTCTAATATATAGAAAGATAAGTGATTGATAAAAGTTGAACGCGTTTGAAGTGACTACACTACAACAATGTTAAGTTTTCCGATTTATTTCAACTACTCAGCAAAATTAACCTTTTTAAAGTGAGATGAAAATAAAGCGCCTGACGTTTGTATTAGTTTTGGAACGCATCCAGTGTTAAAACACTCCCCTTTAGAAGATAAAGTCCAATTAATGTCACTTTTCTTTGAGAACGTTTGAATAATGTCACAATTAGGCCTGCCTCGGCACTTAAGAAAAACCTATAACCTTTGGTATAATAATTATTTCGCAACTTCTGCTTAGACCAAAATAAGGCTTATCAAATAAAAGGAAAATATATTCACCTAAGCCAAACTCCGCTACAGAAAATACAAGCAAAAGTTTTTGTTATTGCTAACCGGATACACTTGAACGAGAATCAAGAGCGTGTGCAATGAAACTTGACTGAATTCTTTGACACGCGTCAGGGCGTCGTTTCTGTTACGCTGTTATATTTTCGTAATTTATTTATCTCAGACAACAGGTTTATTAGCGTAAACTCTGAACCATACCTGACTCAGTCGAGTTTGGCATTCTTGCGAGCTGAAACAGGGCTAAAGAGGCGTCCAAAATGAAGTTCTCGTCCGTTTGGCTTTTTACCCTCGTTTTCACTTCATTTCCAATCTTAACGACATCTCACTGGTGGTAGGTTTCATCTTAAATCTTCCACTTTCTACGAAGCTTGTATAAATTAAACGACTAACCCTGTATTGTATTCTGCTCTCAAGAGCAGTTCAAACTCTGTCAGTCCAAATCATTTTATATCAGTAAGCGCCCTTTTATGTTAAGTCTATTAGAGTGTGAGCAAAAAGGATTCTACCAAGATTGCTCAACTGAAGTTGTTTGTCTGTTGTTTGTTTCTACTCCAGGTTTATGTCTGAAGTGTTTGCATTGGGTGCTAAAATCATGTGTAATCACGACATTGCTGGCTTGGTGAACTCTCAGCGACAGCTTTGCCGAGAGAATCCTCAAGTTGTGGTTAGTATTGGAAAAGGTGCGAAGCTTGGTGTAGAGGAATGTCAACAACAATTCAAGGACCACAGATGGAATTGTTCCACAATGGCGCGCGATGTTAGCGTGTTTGGAAAAGTTATGAAGAAAGGTATCTATATTTAAGTAAATTGTCCATAACTGCTGCGTACGTCTTTGTAACTCCTAAAGTTTCTAATAACTCTTATTCAAGGTTGCCCCAAAACATCAAGAGAGGAGCCGCAGAGTTAAGCTACACAATAAAACCGCGCGAGTTAACGAAGCTAGTGACATTCAGAATTGGCTTCAAAGAGTTTCTACAACACCGTCACCCACTAATTACAAAAGAAGCATGATAAAATCTTCCTTCTTTATCGTTTTTTTCTGATCTAGTTTTGTCCAAATCTTCTGCTTGTCTCGTCTTTTGACAGCCAGCCGGGAAAGTGCCTTTGTTTATGCGATAACCTCAGCTGGAGTTGTACACGAAGTCACCCGCGCGTGCAGTCGTGGCGAACTCAGAGATTGTGAGTGTGACAAAAGTCGTAAAGGAACTAGCGAAAAAGGCTTCCAATGGGGAGGATGCAGTGACAACATCGCCTACGGTCTGAAATTTGCCAAGTTATTTGTGGATTCTGGAGAACGAGAGAGAGACGCAAGAGCAAAGATGAATCTTCACAATAACCTGGCTGGACGGAGAGTAAGTCCAGGCTTTTGAACCTAAGCAACATAAAAATTTCGTGCATTTAAATCACCATTTAATAGCTGCGTCTTAGTTTAGCGATTTTAATTAAACTTATCGCTCACAAATTTATCATCCAGGAAGAGTACTTTGTTTAAGTGTCATAATGCTTAACACCTGGTGTGTTTAAAGGAGCTTAATAACGGTTTGCGTATCTTGAAAAGTTTAGCCTAAATTTTTCAAGTTGGTCGTTTGTAATCCGTGTCAATCTTCTCCATCCTTAGTCATTTAGTCTTGTTCATTTATGGCTTATTATTATCTCTTTGGTGTTTTTCTATCTTAGTAATCTACTATTTTCAGGTTTCCTTCAAATCAAAGGTAATTTTGAACGTGGCAAAATAAACTTAGAATACTGTGGCTGAGCTACTTTAATTCGGACACTGTGAATCGAGAAACAAATATTGTTAATAGGAAAGAAATTTAGTTGAATGTCCCAACCGAAGAGATCACCAAAACTGAGTTAACAATGGCTAAATCAGGAGCGCCAACTCTGTAGGCAGACGAATGAGACAAAAATCGAAAATTTTCCGTTTCTTTTGAGTGGTCGAGAGCGCGTTTAATTTCCTCTTGCTGGTTAGCCGGAGTCAAAATAAACGATGTGAAGGAATTAATCATCTCTTGGTTAAATAATGAAGTTACGTTACGTTTGTCAAAGAAGATTTCTAATTCTTTTAGGAAGGGACGCCACTATAAAGAATAACAAACATTTTAAGATGGCTGACAAGCGTTTCCGTTTTTGACATTCCACTGACAGTTACCTTAAATATAATAATGTTAACAAATATCTTTCGACTCAACTTTGTATTGATTTTAAAATGAACGAAATGAGAGCTTTATGACATCAAAATTGGATTTCCTGACAACCTTATTAGAGGTCAGCATGCCATTTTTTTCCTTTTATGGTTAATAACTTAAGAATTGGATGGCGATGTTCCTTTTTTGGTCAGTATTTGTTATATTTTTGTTTCGCACGAAAGTGGTGTTATCAGCGGGAAATGCCTTGAGTTTTTGTCATCGAATTAATAGAGAACTTAAGCAATGACTACGGAGACCCCGAGGACGACGCCTAGTAAAAACTGAATTCCAGTTCATATTTTACCTTCGAATTTCACAATTGTCTAGATCTGTTCAGTGCGCCTATCATATTGGTCTCAGAACTTGCTCAAGCCAAATATGCAACGCCAGCGTTCAATTCCAAATGAAAACACAAAAAATTAGCTGCCGCTTTTCGCGTTCTCCAAAATACGCGGAACTTAGTCATTTCACGTTGTTGTTGAGCAGAGGACGGCAAAGAAATGTATATATAGATTTATATGCACGTGCACAGCCATTGTTCTACTCATTAAACCTTTTGTTTGGTGGCGTTCTCGTTGTCGTTGCCGTCGTTTTTTGCTTAAGCTAACTCTCTAATAGCGTTGCTGTTGTTATTTTAGGCCGTCAGACATCAGACCACCCTTAATTGTATCTGTCATGGTGTTTCTGGTGCATGTCTCGTAAAAACCTGCTGGGTCACTATGGCTTCTTTTGGTGTTGTGGGAAGCTATCTTCGTGACAAATATCAAAATGGCATCCATGTCACTGTGGACCAGAACGGCGACGAGCTCGTGGTGCCTGAAGGGAAGCATCTGTCAAGGCCCGCACGTGACGACCTCGTGTTTTTGGAAGAGTCCCCGGATTATTGCGTTCCCAGCTCCAATACCGGTTCGCTGGGCACGGCGGGAAGAGTTTGTTTAAATTTCGACAAGACCATGACTCGAACGGGACGCGGGAACTGCGGGACTCTGTGCTGCGGGCGCGGGTTCCACGCGATTCAAATCGAGGAGGAATATAAGTGTAGATGCAAATTCAATTGGTGCTGCGACGTGAAGTGTAAAACTTGTAAGAGAACTGTCCATAAGCACGTTTGTAAATCGCATGAGGAATTTATCGCTGCAAAGAACAACTCGGTTTCTGAGTTCACCGAGTTGTTTGTGCGGAACTTTGAAAGTTATGATCCAAACAGGGCTCCAGACAAATCAAAGAAAGGAAAACTAGCTAAAAAGGCGCGCAGGAATAGGAAGCGAGGAGCCTCAAACCACGATAACAATGAAGACAACTGAGCTGACAAAACCTTAGATGACAGACTGAAGAGTGATTTTCATATGGTTGTCCTCCCTTCTAGAAGGTGGGGAGGGAAGGGGGGGCTCCCATATAAATAGGACGCGGGTGCTGATCGGAAATTTTGAAAAGAAACCCTAAGAGGTACCGAGATCCTGTTTTATGGGCGTGGCTTGAAATTCTTTTCATCCCTATAGAGAGATCCCAATTCCGAAAAAATAAGCAATAAGTGACACCTCCATTATTTTTAATAGCGATAAAGAGGATTTATTTAAATGCCCTCTAAAGGTAACGTTTACGAAAGCATTGTCTTAAATCTCTATCCCGGTTAATATAAGTTGTTCGATTCCTCATACCCTGAAAGGTACCGTGAAAGCTCCTGTTGTGGGACCTTTTGAGGCTCAACTCCCTAAGAGTTACCAAACCCGCTTTTTTAACCCCTTAAAGGTACGACAAGCACTCCCGTCCTCTTTATACGCCCCCTCCCAGGATGGTTGCTACGATCGCCGCGATCTCTAGAACGGCTGAAGTAAAAAGCCCAGGAATCGTTGCAGTCATACGGAAACAACTCTTCAGCCGATCGTCGCAAGACTACCATCACAAAGATAGACTTCAGAAGGTACTCTCCAGACATTACAGCGATCGATGCGGCCATGGCGGTGATTTATATACCAGAAAACACTTCGTAAATGTTTTGCCCAGGTCCTCTCGGGTGTTCAGGTTCTACTCTGTGACGATCGCGGCGATAGCTTTTCCCGTGACTGCAGCTATCATATGAAAACTAGTCTTCACTTGAAATGCAGAGGACAAATGCCTGAGATTACATAAGGTAGCAAACGAATATTACAGCGTAACTTGGATTACATTTTTTGCAAAAGTATAAAGTAAAATATATTCACTTAAGTTGTCATCCTATGAAGGCATTTTATAAATTTAGAT